GTAGAATCTCCACTGAGTAGTATCCAATCTGTCTAGGCAGGGCTGATGAAAGGAGATAGGGATAGGTCTCTTGTGATACAATAGTGAATAATTGTTATCAGAACTGATTATGAGGGTTGGAAATGTAAAGGCAGACATTTTGTAACAAGGAGGGGAGTGACTAACTCTGCAGTCTAGGAGCAGAGGTCCCTGGAACCATGAAGGGAGAAGAGTGGAGAGCAGGACCCTACCCAGAGGAGCAGTGCTGCCAGAGATGGAGGCAGAGATGACGACATGGAGAGATGGAGCAGTTGGAGACTTTAGACCCAGAGAGGAAGAGGGGCTGTGTGCTGATGACCGCGGGGGGGGGGGTGGGGGGCAGGCTTGCAGGGTATACCCTGTAGTTGGTTGATGATGCGTGGAGGGGATTTTAACCATGGCAGTGAAACGATATATGATAGGATAAATGTAAAACTAATGTTCTCCCATGTAAACTATCACATAATTCACAATACAACATTTTTAAAAAACAAAGGGAGAGGAAGGTATGGCATGGGGCAGGAATGCCTCTTGTTGTTCATATTCTTCCCTGCCTTCCTATTGCTCAAAGCCCTCTAAGACAGTAGAATATGCCTCATCGAGTTTTCTAGGCTGTAATCATAACTACAGCAACAGTCTTTACAGGATCAGAGCACGGTGACTGTAGGATAAGCACTGGACTGAGAACCACCCTTTAAGTCAGCAGTTTGAACCCACTCGTTGCTCCGTGGGAGAAAGATGAGGCTTTCTGCTCTCACAAAGATTTGCAGTCTGGGAAACCCTATTCAGGGTCTCCGTGAGTCAGAACCAACTCCACGGCACTTAGCAACAACGACTATTCACAGAAGCAGATCGCCAGGGGTTTTCTAACTCAGAGCAGCCAGTGGGTTTGAACCACCAACCTTTAGGTTAGCAGTGGAGTGCTTAACCATTGCGCCACCAGGGACTCTTGAAATGGATCATAGAGATCAAAACATAAGACCAGGTCTAGAGAGCCACAAGAGAGCAGAGGTGGGCCGGCCGCTACCCAGGGTGAGCACTAAGAGTCAGGCATTTGGAGGATGGAATTAGGCAACTGGGCTTGCGGGCAAGTTGAGAGGAATTTTGTGTGGATCCACTAGGCTACCCGGGACCTTGCCCAGTATGATGCTGCCCATCATGAAGAATTCAAACGTTACGAGATGCTCAAGGAACATGAACGCCGCCGCTATCTGGAATCATTGGGGGAGGAGCAACGGAAAGAGGCAGAGAGGAAGCTGGAAGAGCAGCAGCGCCGGCACCGAGAGCACCCCAAAGTCAACGTGCCGGTAAGGACCCTCCTTATTCCCATCTCACCATGTCCAAGTTTCCAAGCACCAGAAGACATGAAAGTAGCTGAGGAACACTAACTCCCAGCAGCCTCTCATGCAAAAGAGCCCGTTTTTATGTATTCTGCTGGCCCCAGGGCCTTCTGGGAGTTGTAGTTTTCTTGTTTGAGGGGGCATGACATTTTGGGAGCTGCTTGCTTATGAACCCCTGGTTCTCTCCTCCACAGGGCAGTCAAGCCCAGCTGAAGGAGGTGTGGGAGGAGCTGGATGGACTGGACCCCAACAGGTTTAACCCCAAGACTTTCTTCATACTGCATGGTAAGAGGGAGAGGGAGTCCCAAGACCCACACTGATCCCTGAGGCATTGACCTTTCTGGGGTCTGAATTCTAGGGGGAGCTTCCCATCCTGATGGGGCTTACAAAGTCATGCCTAGAAGATTGAAGCCCTCTCCCCTGGTCAACCAGAAGGCCCTGCCCTTCCCCTGTTGCTAGGGCCAGGACCTTCCATGGAAAAACTGGACCCTTATTTTCAGGAGAAGACTGGCAGATTCCAAAGGCACCAGGCTAGGCTATGCCTGGGCCCCCTCCCTTGGCAGTTCCTTTTGGGAGCCAATGGCTAAGGGTTGTCTGTTCTCTAGTAATGAGGTCTTTTTGTTGTTGTGAAGTGCCGTCGAGTCGGTTCCAACCCATAGTGACCCTGTATAGGGTTTCCGAGGAGCAGCTGGTGAGCTTGAATCACGGACCTTGCAGTTCAAACAGCTCTCCAGTCTGGCGCATTAACCCACAGCACCACCAAACTAGGCCTACACAGGCTTAAAACCCATGGTGGATCAGAGACACAATCCCCTTCAGTTCCCTTATAGAAATGTGGCCTCAGGCTAGCTCAGGACTTGAGCCAGAACCTGTACCTTATCAATAGATTTTAACAAGGCCTGCTTCATTCATTTTGCAAACTAAACTAAGCATTACTAAGCTCGAGATCCTGTGGATCTAGCCATGAACAAGACTGAGTGGTTACCCTCACAGACCTAGTGATTCCACAGAAGTTAATTCTGTACTTCAGAAAACCTAAGGGCCCACTGATCTCAAGATGCACTAGAATTTTACATGGTGGAGCTGTGCCTTTGAATTCATTCCACCTCAGAGCAAGCCTGTATAGGGTTTCTGAAACTGTAAATCTTTATAGGAGCAGAAACCTTATCTTTCTCCTGTGGAGCAACTGGTGGATTCAAACTGCTAACCTTATGGTTAGCATCCCAGCGCATAACCCACTACACTCCCATGAGCTGCTGATTAAACTAGCGCACCACCTGTGATAAACCTTCAATGTCCTGGAGGCTAAAATACCAAGAAAATGCATCTTAGACTCAGTGGAATAGGACCTACCATAGAGTCTCAGATAAACTCACATACTGTGGAAAAGAACACAGCTGGGTTAAGTGAATAGCAGTTATAATTGGCATGCAGCAAAAGTGGTGCAGAAGCCATGTCTGACTTCATCTGGCTTCACAAGGGGGAAGGAGAATCAAACTCAAAATCAGTCCAAGGTCACTTCCTATGACGTGGAGGTCAGACAGCCATGCCTCCACCCTACAACCTTCTTTACCCTGTTCTGACCCCAACTACCCGTCCCCCAGCACTGTGCTTCACATCCGGGTCCATAATCCAAACAGAACTCGCGACGATGGGCCTCATTAGGGAAGTGGACAGGGTCCAATTCAGAACCAAACCATCAGGGTGCAGCAGGGATCCCGTCAGGAGCACGTCTTCTTTGCTGTTCGCCTCGTGCTTGTCTTTTGTCTCTCAGCCACGTGGTGCATTGTGACTGATGAAAAACTGACATTTTAATCGTACTTCCTTTTAATCTGTTTGAATTTAAAAAAAACTTACTAATCAGCTCAGTTCCAACTCTTGATGACCCACCCCTGAGGATTTCCTTCACTCTAGTCTTCTTTTTTTGCTGAATGTTTACTCCACAAATTATTTCCCATTTGACAATTTCTATATACAATTTTCCATAACTGTAAACGTGGCATGAGGGGCGGCGTCGGTCCTGTAACTTCCCAAGGGAGTTGGAGAATCACTATCAGCCATCATCTGCCCATGGCGGATTCCTGAGGAAGACGTCAGACATAACCTCCCTCGTCAGTGTTCCTTTACCAGTTCTGGTCAACGCTTTTACAGCCACCTGTATTCTCTACTGGAGTCAGTAATTTAAAGCGGTGACCACACAGAACTCAGACCTTGCTCCCAGTGTGGGGCTTGTTAGGGGGGAATGGCAGGTTACAATTCAGGATCGTTCAGAAACTGTTCAAGATCCAGACCTTTGGTCAGGACAGCATCATAGCCAGTCCTCCAGGCATGCTTCTCTCTGGCCCTCGGCTGGGGCAAATGTCACAAAGCATTTAGTTCCTCCAATAAGGCACCCCACTCCACCAGCAAAGTCTCCTGCCTAAAGGCATTCGGCTTTCTTGCTCTGTTTCCTGGTTCCGATGCCTCTGCTGCTGCCGTGTCTCTGCCACTACTCACAGTCTCTTGCTGTCTCTGTCACAGCTCTCTGTCTCTTTAGATCTTGAGTCTAGGAGTTTTCACCACAAGGACCCCAGGTCCAAAACATCTCTCCACTTCTGGTTCTTGATGGTCATTTAGTTTCCCTTTCCACCTCTGGGGTGGCTCATTTTAAGTCTAATGGGATGTCAGAATCGACCAATCTCAGGATTTCACGCACTTTACTTGAATTATCCCTCCCTAAAAGGTGCAATGCCCCTTATTTACATGATTAACACTCTGTCCAATCCCCTTGGTGAGCCACAAGCACCTCATTTGCTTGGTCCCACCCAGTCATTTGGTGGGAGTTATAGAATATGGCTAGAAGGACTTTATCCAGTCATCCATCATTACGTTTTCACAATGTGTCAACATTATCTTTAATTGCATTCTGGTTACTCCAGTTCCAGTGTTCTAGTTTCCCTGCTGTTTTTGGTAATCTTTGCAGAAGCAGATCACCAGGCCTTTCTTCCACAGAGCCACTGGGTGGGTTCAAAGTGTCCACCCTTTGGTTAGCAGCCAATCGCAAAGCACTTGCGCCATCCAGGCTCCTTGATGGTGGTTGTTGTTGTTATGTGCCATGGAGTCAGTTCCAACCCATAGAGACCCTGTACAGGGTTTCCGAGTCTGTAAATCTTTACGGGAGCAGAAAGCCTCATCTTTCTCCCACGGAACAGCTGGTAGTTTCAAACTGCTGACCCTGCGGCTCGCAGCCTGATTAGTAACCACTATGCTACCAGAGCTCCTTAGGCTCCTTGGTTACAGCTACCATATTGAGCAGCACAGGTCCAAAGGTAGATAGAGAAGAGGCCCCACCCCTGAGCTTTGGGATGTGTCTTTGGAGTGAGGAAGAAGAGGGATCTGGCAAAGGAGACTCCCTCAGGCAGCCAGAGAGGAGAGAATGCTGTTCTAAAAGGAAAGGGCAGAAAATCAAGTAACAGGTGCGCTGGAAATGAACCATGGCATTTGCAAGATCACAGTTCCAGGCAAGTTCAACAGTAGCAGGGTGAGGGCTGATCGGGAGGACAGAGGAGGAGACTGAGCATGGCCCAGAGCCTGAGGAGCCTGGAGCCCCATGGCTCTCTGAGCTCAGTTGGTAGGGGGAGGCTTTCTTAAGCAGCTAGCCTCAGCAGTGACTGGAATCAGGCAGCCTTGGATCCCAGGTGTCTTTGTTCTCTATAACAGAAATAGCACAAGTGGAGAGCTTCAGTGACAAATGTATTCTCTCACAGTGTAGGAGGCTAGAAATGCAAATTCAGTACCAGTATGAGAGAAAAGTCCTTGTCTTCAACATCCATAGGTCCAACATTCCTTGGCATCCATCTTTCCCTGAATCTAGGAGCTTCACAGTACACGGACCCAAGTCCCAAGGACACACTACTCTCTGCTCTTCTTTCTTGGTGGCAGTAGGTCCCTCTTTCTTAGTTCAATTATCTCTTCTTTTATATTTGAAAAAGAGATTAACAACCTAATCCTGCCTTATTGACATCATAGAAGTGAAGACTTACAACACAGAGCTTAGTAATATCAGATCAGGGCTGACACATCCGATCCCATTCTGGGGGGGCAGGTAATTATAGTCTTTAGATCTTCCTTACCATGGGGACTTAGTACCTCTTCTAAACCACTGAGAATCCGGGCCCAGCCAAGTTGACACCAAACCTTATCTATCACACCAGACAAAGGAGGTGACATTGTGCCCACAGATGTGTGCTAAGACAGGATTCACACATGTCAACAGGCCCAAGAATGACCCTAGTGAAACCCAGCCTTTACCTCATCTGTTCTCAGGACCCTGGTTGCTAAGGAACTAGCCATCCCAGCAATGGTCCTGGTGGGGCATTGAAGTTTAAGAGCCACCATTCCATTGCTAAAGACCCCTTTCTACTGTCTTCTGATAACAGACCCCCACAAAAGCTCTAAATTAACCAGTTGGTCTCAGAGACCCGCCCCCAACCCATCTGCCTTCCCCCAACATACCTTGTCTCCCTCTCAGATATTAACAGTGATGGCGTCCTGGATGAACAGGAGCTGGAGGCCCTCTTCACCAAGGAGGTGAGCACCATGGAAGCTGTGGGTACAGGGTACACTCTGGTCAACCCCGTGAGGTCCTAGTGATACCCCCTAAGTTCCTCTGGAAGGAAGTTCAGAGGAAACTACCACTCCCAGAAGCCCTTGAGACAAAAGAAGGCTGCCATGAGCAGAAGCTTGCCCCAAGGCCTACAGGGAATTGAAGTTCCATCTGCCAGGAGGGCGTGTACCTTAGAAATGGGCTGGTCATGGGCGATTCATTCCTGCTTCTCTCTTGGCCCTGCAGCTGGAGAAGGTGTATGACCCAAAGAATGAGGAAGATGACATGCGGGAGATGGAAGAGGAGCGGCTGCGCATGCGGGAACACGTGATGAAGAATGTGAGAGGACCTACTATGGGGGCGGGGGGAATGGCAAGGGAGCGTGGCCCCCATCCCTGTCTTACCCTTATCCGGGTCCCCAGGTGGACACCAACCAGGACCGCCTCGTGACCCTGGAAGAGTTCCTTGCATCCACACAGAGGAAGGAGTTTGGAGACACGGGTGAAGGCTGGGAGGTGATCTACTCGGGATCCTGAATCTCATATCCTTACCAGTCATTCTTGGAAGAACTCTGGCTGTTTCTCTCTCTGTCTCTGGGCCCACTTTTCTTTAGGTCCCCCTCTCTGTGGGTTTCTGTCCCCACCCCCCACCCCCCGGGTCTCCACCCTTCCCAGGTTCTGCCCTCCACTGTGGGTCTTCATTCCACTCTGATGTCTTCAAACTTCCCCCTCTCCCCCATACACACACACACACATGCCCCATCCTTCTAGCCTCTAGCTTTTCTGCTCTGGTGCAGAGAGAGCCCTCTGCTCAGAGGCTGGGCCATGGCTGGGCTTAACCCCAGTGATGGCCTCTTTCCGGTCCCCACCCCAGACAGTAGAGATGCAGCCTGCCTACACAGAGGAGGAGCTGAGGCGTTTTGAGGAGGAACTGGCCGTCCGGGAGGCAGAGCTAAATGCCAAGGCCCAGCGCCTCAGCCAGGAGACAGAGGCTCTGGGTCGTTCCCAGGGCCATCTAGAGGCCCAGAAGAGAGAACTGCAGCAGGTGACCAGTAGGGGGAGCTACACCTGCTTTCTGTATCCTTGGATGGCTCTTATCTCAGTCAGCATGTGTGCCTTTGAGTTGGCCACCATGTTAATCAGGGGTTGAGCCTCAAGTATGTGTGGCCATCTTGAGTCATGGCAGACATTTTCTAGTCAGTTCTGTGACTGCCATGTTGGATAAGGTGACTAGTGGGTGAGGAGGGGAAGAGAATAGAGTGAAGGTTCCACCCCAAGGCATGACCCCAATCTTGTCAGAAAGTAGGGGGATTAGAAGGTGGAATATTAAATTCAAGCCTGGAGGAGAGTGAGAACCTGAGCCCCGTAGGGAAGGGACTGGCCCAGGATCAGGTAGCTGGCCACTGTGGAATCTCAGTTTAGGGACTGGGCATCTTTGCCTGCATGTCTGTGTGACCCCTACCCCACTCACCCCCCCCACCCCCCAGGCGGTTCTGCACATGGAGCAGAGGAAACAACAACAACAACAACAACAACAACAACAGCAGCAGCAGCAAGCTCTCAATGCCCCTGCCCCCGGCCCTGAGGGGCAACTCAATTTCCATCCTGAAACAGGTACTGGTTCCCAGGGGTGAGGGTGGGGGCTTCAGTCTGATTGGGGGTTTGAGGGAGGAAGGGAATAGGAGATGGGACACCTGGGGCAAGGAAGGAAGGTGTAAGCACCCAGACTCCTGAATCTGAGGGAGGAGGGAGCTAGGAGTCAGGATTCCCAGATCTGAGGGAGAAGGGGGATGGGAGTCAGGATTTCGGGTCTGAGGAGACTCCCTGGGCGTCTTGGAGAAGGAGGGGACCACGTTGTCTTGTGCCATCATCCTTCCCTCCATCCAGATAACATGCCTGTCCCAGCTCCAGCGGATGACCAAAAAGACGCGGACACTTCAGAAAAGAAAGTTCTTGAACAGCCACAACTAGACTCCCAGCGCCTGTGATCCCTGAGGCCCAGCCGTCCGGCTCCCCCCACCTAGGCAGCTCATGGCAGGGGACCGCTCTCACAATAAACTTTCCCTGAGGCCAGCAATCTGTGTGGCCTCTGGGGGAGAGGAAGGCTGGTGGGTGGGTGGCACCTCAGGTGTCAGGTGTCACGGTTCCAGCTTCCGTAGCCCCAGACTCGAAGTCTGTGCTCCATCTTGCTGTTCCCTCTCCATGGAGCTGCCCTCTCTGTGCCCAGCTGTCTTGGTTTGCGAGCTCACCGATGAGTCAGACTTAGGGAAACCCCTTGCAGCCCATGCCCCCTTCTTAGATGGTCTTGCCTCAGTCGCCCCAGTGAATCCACAGCTGCGAGAGTTCTGCCTGTTGCCCAGGGCCCAGGCTTTGTGGGTGGTGGGGGCTTTGCATGGTCCCCTAAGGCTTGATGCCGAGGGCAGTTCGGGTACCAGAGTCTGACCTCTCCCTGAACCCTGGACTTTCCCCACAGTCTTCGGAGGGTGTGTACACAGAGCTGCCCCTCCCACTCCCTGAGGGTCCCCTGGACTAACCCCTTCAGCCCTAGGTGAAGTCCCCACAAGGACTGGCCCTGCTGCCTTTCGGGCCTTGCCTGATGCTTCTGTTTGCCCTGCTTTGGCTCTGGTTCCATCTAAATACACTTAGTGGAACACGGGGAAGACCCTCGAGGTTCTGTGTGTATGTGCTGTTCACTGAGACACCACACCCATGTCGCTTGCCAAAGTCATCCTGGTATTTAAGACTCAATTCAAGCTTCACTTTTAAGAAACTCGGTTCTGAAATGCTGAGAAGTCCACTGCCTGCATCATTACATATAGCTGTCAAATGACTCACGTATATGAGCTCCTGATGTGCTGAAGGACATGCACTGAACTGTGAACCACAAGGTCGACAGTTCAAACCCACCAGCCGCTCCTCAGAAACCCTATACAGGGTTGCTATGAGTCAGAACCGACTTGATGGCACTTAACAACAACACACACGTTCTCAGCTGTACCTTTCTGGGCCATGCAGGGTCCTTCCAGCTACAAGGACAGAAAACTTAAACCTTATTTATTATCACCCAAATCAAGGTAGAGTGGTTAAAAGAACTTTTCAGGGAACCAGATCTTCCACCTCCTTGCTCTGTATGGTAGATGTAAGGGGGCGCGCTCCTCGTGATCCCAAATGGCTGCAAAGGCTCTGGAGGTCACATGTTTGCCTTAGTAGCCAGCAGAAGAGGACCCATCCTGCCCTGTTATCATAAATGAGGGAAATCCTGTCTCTGAAGCCACTCTACCAACTCCTTTCATCCTATTGGCTGCTGACACAGGAAGTCTGTGGTTCCACTGAGTTGGCGACTACACAGGGCTGCTGTGACAAAAATGCCACAAGTATATGGCTCAGTAAAGGAGCTCTGGTAGTGTAGTGGTTATGAATCGGGCTGCGAACCTTAAGGTCAGCGGTTCAAAACTACCAGCCGCTCTGCAGGAGAAAGATGAGGCTTTCTACTCCCATAAAGATTTACACCCTCGGAAACCCTGTACAGGGTCGCTATGGATCAGAACTCAACGGCACTTAACAACAACATATGGCTTAGTAAGTTGATTCACCCACAGTTTAGCAGGCTCAAAGTCTGAATTTAGTGTCTGCTCTAGGAGAAGGCTTTTTGTTAACTCTGGGGAAAGGTCCTCGTCTCCTTTCAGCCTCTGTAGGAGGTATGATACCCTTGAAGATCTCCATGTGTCCTGGTATTAGTCTTCCCTGGGTCTCGGAGGTTATCAACATATAGAGCTAGAGTCCAAAGGACACACCATGCCTGGCTCTTCTTTCCCGGTGGTACTGAGGGCTCTTCGCTGCTCACTTTTCTCTCCTTGTGTCTCATGGAAGATAAATGTGATGCCGGCCACACCCAAGGAGACTCCCCTTACGCTTATCAGGGCTGTGAGCCATGCAAAGGTTTTAACAACTCACTCTAATCCTGCCCTTACAACCGAGCACGTCACGTAGGACGATGACAGAACTGCCCCCTACCTTCAAGGAGTCCTGGTGTGGTGCTGTGGGTTAATGCGCTGCCCTGCAAAAGTCTATTTGAACCACTAAGGTTGGTGGTTCAAGTTCAACAGCCGCCCCTCGGAAACCCTCTACAGGGTCGCTGTGGTTCAGAACTGACTTGACAGCACTTAACAACAACACAAACATATGTGGGATACCTCGAACAGGTAAATGCAGAGAGCAAAGTTCATTACTAGTTATCAGGGACAGGAAAGAGGCAGCCATTGTTAGGGGGTATCGAGCTGTTACCACCATTTACCATGAAGTTGACCCCAACGTCTAGCGACCCATGTGCACCAGAAGAGGATTATGTTCCATAGGGGTTCCAATGGTTTCCAGGCCTTCTAAGCCACTTCTGAGTGGGCTCGAACCACCAGCCTTTTGGTTAGCAGCTGAGAACATTAACCATTTTCACATAACCAGGGACTTCCAAATTTCTGTTAAGGGTGATGGACAATTTGGAAACAGGTAGTAGCAATAGTTGCATATGATGACCATAATGAAGGTCACTGGGTTGCGCATGTACAAAAAGAAAATGTGGAAATGGTGATAGTTTTGCTGTAGGTCTACTTGCCACACACATAAGGGAACATCATACCATGTTCCTTTTGGCATGGACTCTACACTCAAAGAATGTTAGTGAACAGATGAGTTAATGAATACATGTTTTCTTCTCTCTTCCTGACACAATTCTTGCTGGATTGACAGTTTCTCATGACCCTTCATTTCACAAGTGTTTTTTTTAACACTCAAATGTGTCTCTGCCTACGCCTCCTTCCTCCTCTCCTTCACGCCCCACTGCCTGCCGGGTGAGTTCGTTGACCCTTTACAAATGGTCTTTCCCTCTCTGTGCTTGTCCCCCTCTCACTCTATGCTCCAGCCTCCTGGCTTCTAAACCGGGTCACTGTGGGTCAGAATCAACTCAAGTGGATGGCAATGGATTTGGGTGTTTGTTGGGGGAGGAGAGAACTCTGGTAGCGTAGTGGTTACGAATCGGGCTGTGAACCGCAAGGTCAGCAGTTCAAAACTACCAGCTGTTCCGTGGGAGAAAGATGAGGCTTTATGCTCCCGTAAAGATTTACAGTCTCAGAAACCCTGTATAGGGTCGCTATGAGTCGGTACCGACTCCACGGCACATAACCACCACCACCAAGTCTGTTTCA